TGCTTTATGTTAACATCAAGGTATCTTTCTTCTTGACAAATGTTTTAAAATTAATCAAGCGACCTGTTGAATCCAGTAACCAATACGCTAATAGCACGCCTTAGCAGAGACTGAAGTGGCTAAAGACACTACTTCAGTTGTACTAGGCACGCAAATTCGGAAGGTTCGGTGACTGCCAGCCCTGTATCAGCTATATGTACATTGTATACTACGATGAACTCACGTTGCATATTTTGTACTGAATCGCTTGTCTAAAAATTTTTTCAGAAATACAATCATTCCACATGGGAAGAGAGTTGCTGGTTAATTACGGTGCCGCCCAAGTAATCCTGATTGCAATTATCAAATGTATCTATCTTCCTCTCATTAACAAACCTGTCAGACTAGTGCGTAGAACTTTGTTAACAGTCTGTAAAGATGACAATGATCTTAGAGAAATCCGTCCTGCAGACATCATAAGTCTAAGCACCGCAGCTCCGGGAGTAGAACTTAATGACGATGACGCACATACAGTCTTCGAAAAGCCCTCATTCAACGGGACTTTAGGACACAAGTTGATCAAATTTTCGACTTCTCGTTCACGCCTAGGAGAACGAACAGGATCCCTACTCCATAACACGACAGTGCAGCGTATTGTCGACAGCAGCCATGAGAGAAATAAAAACCTGTGATTAATTCCAAAACGGGTCATTAATTAAGCAGTGACAACCACAAGCAAATAAGTCTCTTCCATTAAATCTTAAGTTTTTTCCGTTGCCTTTAAAATCTCAGATAATACCAGAACTTAAACTGCAAAAGTGCATACATTAACTCTATCAAAGTAGACTGAAGTAATCTCCCAAACTTACCGTCGGTTTTATCTTCGGCCTTAGCTCTTATAAGAGCAATATATTTATTCGTACAGAGATAAAATCTTTTCGAGTTGTGCTCATGGCCTCTTACAGTTTGCTAAGCCACTGAATTTGTAGTACATAAGATTCTGGAACAAACTTCTATTCTACTTAGAAGGCTTTACGATACACTGCTAAAGGCACAAAAACTGGTCGAATAGATTTACTATATGCAAACGTTTCGAACTATGCCATATCGATGATACAGAATGGACACCACTGTGTGATCAAAGACGTCAGCCCACCTTTATACTTTTAAACCTAGCATTCGAAGTCCTTGTTTTGAAGGATACTTGCTTCAGATATTGACAGTGAAAAGAAATGTATTTCAGTAAACATTTCCATTGAGTACCATTCAGCAAAATCATTACAAAGTCGATCTCAGTTTCTCTCAGACCGTGACCTTCAGCAGGAATATTTCGAGAATCAAAATTGCTGCTACTTTCACGTGATACATATATTACGGCTCTTAGCCCGATTACAGACAGTTTCCGCAGTCAGATTATAGCAGGGTTGCTCAGACACATCTGATCTACCGGCTTGTAACGTTGTCGTTTGTAAGGCACCAGTGTTACGGTAGAAGTTGTTTACGCGCAGACAAATCGAACGTTCGTTTTCGTTGTTTTCAAGACTTGTAATAATGACATGGAATGTGTCTGCAGCCGACCTATGTCCGTTTAAAAAACAAAAACTCAAATAGACTTCTCAAGAAAATACTGATTGAAGCGGCTGTGGTACAAAATTTCTTTCAAATTCATCTGCGCAAAAGTTGCACATACGCAACATGTTATGGTGGAATACTACCGTTCTGCGTCAAGGAGTTTGGGTGGTACAGCAAATGCTTTCTGACGGTACTGTAAACGAATAATGAAGTGAACGTATTCTCGCCATCTCACCAAGCGTGGGAAACCAGGGGCACGAAGGAGCGAGTTTTGGTAAATAAATGCTTATGCTTATTTCGCTCCATTGCTTCCCGCTTGCTCTCCGAATCTGTTGCCTCAGATATTGTCTTTATGAATTGACGGAACGGATCAATCCGGAACATTGCCAGCAATGGTGATGACGACGGTGGTAGTCATCAAGTGAAACAGCGCTGTGCCCTGCGCGGTTTGTAAACAAGCAGCTGGTGATGCTATCGGTTCAGTCATTCAACAGACATGTGAAATCCATCGGCGTGGCCGAAAACTGAGTAAAAGTCGTCGTTTCGGAAAGCGATGATATCATGACGCCAAAACTCCAAGAAACGTCTACAGTCAAGCCCTATGTACGCATTACGAATTCGACCACCAGCCACTTCGCAGAAAATTCAGTCATATGATAGATTCCGGGAGTGTTTCGCGGCGGGACACGTCCACACAGCACTAAAAGTCGTCTACACTCGTACATGACAATCTCCTAACGAAGAATGCGCGCGGCGACAAACACAGACACGAACACTAAGGCATGCGCGTGCGCAATATAGTTCTTCAATAATTGGTCGAACGCCAGCTTCACGAAGTGACGAAACTTATGGACCGGGCGCCAATTATGCCGCTATAATAGGACCCCCTCTATATGATAAGTACACTTTACAAAAGAACGACAGGTGCAACAGCCACCGACCAAGTTTCGTCGCAGTTTCGTGTTTGCCGAACTTTCGAGCGCCAGATGGGTCTCAGTCGATGCGTCGCATTGCTGCAAAGCAGCCACCGGATAGTGGTCAATGTCAATAGACATCCGCTGTGACCGTCCGGTCGACCGAATGGTTGACCTACTGCCGCTACCGCCTGCGAGGCGGAGGGGCTGAAGAAAGGATAACCGATGA